TATATATATAAATTTTTCGAGTGCCATGTTAATAGCCTTATTCGTGAAAATGTTTTTTCACACGCCTGTCACGGCTAACCCCGGCTGACAGGGATACAACTTCCCAGCAGAAAGACCGAGACACTCAACACAAATTTTACTACTCAATGGGGAATCGAACTCAGCTCTTCTGCGTGCGACAGCCAAGTGCCGAACTAACCGTTATACCACAGACACTGGTGGTGCGGCTCGTGTTCTGGGACATTCTTAGTATAAAAGTAAGGCGTTTTACGGCGCTCGCAACTGCATAAGGTCATATGAGTGGGGTATTCTGTCTGAGATTCCCCAAACTAGTTTTCTAAGTCGAGGTAAACCCATCACACAGAGGCCCCTTTTATTTGGTGGGACATTTTTAGAATGTTAGGTGTCGTATCCGGGCTAGAAAGAAGACATCACTCGGGAGGCTTGTATGAGAACTGAACACGTCATTTGTAGCAAGTGCCTGAATAATGAATATTTGTATAGATCTGTTTATGTGTCTGTCTGTCTGTTAGATGTTTTGTTTGTCTTTTTGTATCCGCCTTGGTGTCTGTCAGGTTTTGGTGGTTTTTGTTGTTGTTGTTGTTGTTGTTTTTGTCTGTCTGTTTATATAGCCGGTTTGTTTGTTGATTGTCAGTCTATGGGTACTCTTCTATGTATTTGCCAGTTTGTTTGTTCGCTTTTTCTATTTTGTACCGTTTGTTGTGTCTTTTCTTGGGGCGTCAATTCCCAGATGCAAAATAAGTCAAAGGAAAAGGGTCATGACTTATGGAACTGGAAAAACAGAACGAAGGTAGGACGCTATGAGTATCTACTATTTGTGTTTTTTTATTTGTTTGTTTGTTTGTTTGATTGTTTGTTGTTTATGTTTGGGAGATGTTGATGTTGCTTTTTTGTTGTTGTTGCTTTTAAAGTAAAAAGTAGCACGTCAATTAGATAAAAGCCAATCGGTGCCAGGAAAGAGTAAGACCGATAGGCAGAATCTACAGATGGGAAAGGAAAGTTCAAATACGGACCTAAACAGGTTGCACCCCCAAACCATCCGAAGTAGGAGACACAAAGAAATGAGACGTGGCGGGAGACGACAAAGTTAAAGGGAAATGGAGAAGCATGACCAATCTGTTCAACGATCTAACAAACTGATATACTTCAGTCAAGGTTTTACCAAGTGTTTCTCTTTCTTGTCTTTGCAGGAAGTAAGAGAAGGTCGCATGGCATATATAAAGTTTATGATGAAGACTACACATGAGAACACAATGTTGCGTTTACCATGACCACTGTCTTGTGTGTGTATGTGAGTGTGTTTCTCTCTCTCCCCCTCTCTCTCTCTCTCTATCTCTCTCTCTCTCTCTCTCTCTCTCTCTCTCTCTCTCTCTCTCTCTCTCCTCCTCCTCCTCCTCCTCCTCCTCCTCTCTATCTCTCTATCTCTCTCTATCTCTCTCTCGCTGTGTGTGAGTGAGTGTGTGTGTGTGTGTGTGTGTGTGTGTGTGTGTGTGTGTGTGTGTGTGTGTGTGTGTGTGTTTAATTCATGAGAACAATTTTTCAATATACGAATTCCGAGTTTAGAACCATTCTATTGTTTCCAGACTTACTGTCCTACCTCATCATAAAACGAGAGAGTACAACTGAGTATGCAATGTCCTTAGCCTTACCTCAAGTTCTGAGAGTTCTCTGTCTGTCTTTTTCTTACATTTGAACTTCTTCGAGGACAACCATTTCCTGATTTTAGAAAACAGCATTGTTTGCAGACGCGTTCATGGTGGTTCCGAACAGACCCGCTAGAAATTCATAAAATATTCAGCAGGCCTACTCTCGCCCGAAAATACAAATTATGTTATTGTTCTTTTTGGGTAAATGTGTCTGTTTGTCTGACTCTAAGAACTCCTGACGGGGACACCGATGGTCTGCACATCCGGGCCGCGCCAGTTTCCACAAGAGGTGAACGTCTGTGAATTAGGGGAATTCCCGATGTGAGAAGTGTGAAAAACTCAACTGAGTCAACGTCACGCTCTTAGTTGTGATAATAGACTTATACCAAAGATCGTACATAACAAGATGGTCCACTCAGCCGAAAAAGTGTCCGCCGGAAGTCCGCTCTTTGCTTAAGACGGCGCTGCAGTCTGTTTTGAGCTCTCTTTCGTTTCTCCAGAAGAAGAATTGAAATTCCACCTCTTTGATCGACTGCTGTTCACCAGCTGTTCGGGTTCGTTCAGTGCGGAGTTTTAGTTGTTGTTTTTTTATCTTAATGACCTCTCGCCTTTCATTCTAAAGTCAAATTAAACGAAGAAATGTCAGCGTAATCATTTTAAAAAAGCGTTCTACGAAATTTGAATTCTTATTTATTCAAAAACTTGCTAGTTTCACTTTGATTTTTTTTCCACACAAGTAGGGTAACTCTTTTCGCGAAGAGGGCGCACCGAATTTTGAGGACACTTTTTTAATTGGCTCAAAGAGAGGAGTGGACCATCTTGTTATGTACGGTCATTGCTTATACTCCCCTAGATGACGTACTGTTATGGTCTCCGCCCATTGATGCCTATAAAAATTTCTCTGCGAAGCGTGAGCCACATGGGCCGTACCACCAATTACGCCCAGATGATTGTCCAAAACGCCAGTCGTGTTTATTCAAATGTGTCTGTCACCTTTCTCCCTTGCCTTCCAAGTGGCTCAAATGGTGCCCTCTATACCGAAGTGGAAATACATCAAAGTGCACGATCTAGGATATAATCATACAAGTCTGTATGGCTCTTTTCGTCTATGCAGACGGTCAATTTAGTTTAAGATGGCTCAGGGTTGTCTTCATGCAGCTTCTTTCATAGCAAGTTCTTCCTGTATTTGAAGCGCAGATTCTGTTGCAGTGCTTGCATGTCATACAAGTCTATAGTGACGATTACTAATCGTTCTCACAACAAGATGCCTTTATTCAACTTCTTCTCTTTATTGTTGTAAATCTTGCAGAAAAAGATCTAAAAAGGGGCCCCCCACTCACTCAGTCGGTATCATGCAAGACTTAGGACGGGATGGCCCTGGTTGGAATTCTGCCAACGGTGTGTTCTGAATGTGGATTGTTTTGGGAACTTTTTCAGGCTCTCCACACTTATGGCTCGGTCCTATCGGAATTGGACGTTTGAAAATTCGGAAGTCCCACCTTTTAAATTTTAATAACCTAACAGTGTTGAAAGGGATGTTGAACCTGTGCAATGACCTATGAGATCAGATAAAACAGGTCACAAAGACCGCTTTATCAACACCACGGAGATTACTTTTTGTTACAGCTGACAGTGACGATAAAAGGTAAATACACCATACAGACTGAAACAACTTATGATTGATATGTATAGAATTTTGTATTCATTCTTTCTCTCTCTCTCTCTCTCTCTCTCTCTCTCTCT